GATCAAGTGATCAAGCCTGAGTTTATTTGTAAAGTAACTTTTATGTTTCCAAGAATGAGAGTGTATGTCTGAGAAATCTCTTCTATCCACAGCATAGAATTCATCAGAATTGCTTCTATACATTCTGATGGCTAAGGAAGTCTTAAAACCATCATAGCTTTCTTGTCCTTTCCCACCTTCCCATCCGTGGGGTACATACAAAATATTGAACCCAGGTCCCTACACATGCCATAGAAACATTTTATCATTAAAATCATTTTCCCTCAGACCAAACTAAACAAAGTCATAGAGTTGTCTCAAGTTATAAGATGTAGACTATATTCCACCTGTTGAGAAGTTATATTGAAAATCAGTGTGACTACAGGAAAGATGGAAAACCATGAACTTTCTCATAATAACAGCTATTAAGAGTCACTGTAGAATGTAAAACATGGAGGAGATATTGTCATCAAATTCGACATAAAAATACATTTGTCCATAGTTATTTGAAACCTACAACCGAAACACACTTTTGAAATTCAGTTAATTGCAATACATGTACTTTAATTGAAATATGCTTTGGTAAGTTTTGTTAAATGAATATACCAGACAAAGTTGTCAATAGATAATAAAATGCTAGTTCATTATCCATTTGGAAAATAGTGATAACTTGATCCAAGCTTTGTGGCAATAAAGAGAAAAGGAGGAAGCTTTGAATAATAACAAGAAGGTAGAACCAAGGAGGTAGATCTAAAGATCATTGAGATCTAAAGATGAGGTACTATAAGAACTCAAGCATAGCTCAGGTATTTTCACGTGATAACTCAATAATGGAAATATTCACAGGTAGTAGGTTTATGAATAAGATGCAAAGTTAAGATTGGGGCACACTAATTCTTGTTGATTCTTGTACATCAAGTGGACATAACTAGTGGGAGATATATTGGCCAGATTTTGAAAAAGAAGTCTGGATTTTGGAATTATTACATGTTGCAGATGAAACTGTGGGTATTCATGCTAGCACTCAGGGAGAGGCATTTCAATGAGAGGGAGGAAAATAAATATTCAATTGAAAGAAGCACAGATAAAAAAGAATAAAGTAATTAAAGAAGCATCAGCAAGAATTATGAGGAATATTAGAATTTTCGAAGATGTGAGTAGATTAATGAGATTTAGAAGCATCAGAAAGAAAGGAGGTGCAAAACCAGGAAACAGTGGTGTCTGGATGATGAAGTGAAAAGAACTAATTTCAAGAATTGCAGAGGTCCAAAATCTCCAGGCTTTCTCAGAGTCGGGAATGGGTGACCTCCCCCCCATCTCCCTGTTCTTTCGGGAACCTGGCAGTCATTCCCACGTACTGCCTCTGGTGCCATAAGAAGCTCACTAATGGTCATGATCCAGGTATTAACAGTTAAAATTTGGAAGAGAACATCAGCAAGCTGCAGAGGTGCCTCCAGCACCCAAAGTCACCACCCAGTTAAAAATTTAACTCTAGTTGTATAACCCTCTTCAAAAGTTTAGAATTCCTGGAGTGTGTGGCCGCGGGTGGCTGCACAGCATCTCGTATGCTACCATTGCTGTACCAGGAGTAGCACACCACATTAGATGGCAAAAATGTAAAAAGCAACTAATCTCGAAAAAACAAAACAAAACAGTGACAGTTGGATAAACAAAAGAGGCAAGGTTGAAGAAACAAATGCTCTTCCCTCCTTTTTAGATTTTTAAAAAATTTCTCCCTTATACAGGTAATCCAGATCTCAGAATTGATAGTTTCATTCCCCAAAGATATGACTTTACATCCTCAGATAGAAATGTTTAACTATTTCTCACTTCTTCCTTCTCCAAGGTTAGCATTTGTATACATATCATTTGTATACTTATGTTTTCGTTGAAGGTGAAGATGGATAATTACCTTTTAGATCCATTACACAAGAATTTTCATAGCATCTTTCATCCCATCAGAAAACAAATCTGTGGTTTCATCATCTGTAGGATTAGAATGTGCTGAATGCTGGGTAATGAGGTACTTTTTCAATAGTTAGCATCCTTCTATTAGAGTAATTATGTATTACGGATTTCATTCAAGAAAGTAACAGTAAAAAGAAAAGCCTTAGCAGTACCAGGAAAATGATTGATGTTATTCTCTTTCTAGTTTTTTTTCCAAAAATATCCTAAATTTGTTCAAGAAGAAAAGTTTACACAAGACCTGACTAGCACATTGTTGGAATGTAAGAAAGAAAAGTTGACCCTGAAAGGTAAGAACTAATATGCGTAGAATTGAATTGCTACCTATACTAGTAGTAGAACTAATGACTATATTCGTAGAGCTAATGTACATATAATTATTACTAATAATTATTAGTAATTAGTGATAGCATTGAGGGTACGGCATATTCCTTCAACACAACCAACCTGGGCTCTATTCCTTCGCCCCTATCAGAGAGCCTGCCAAGTTACCAAGAGTGACTCACCTGCATGCAGGGACTGGGAAACTCACCATGACATATTCGATATGCCAAACACAGTAACAAGTCTCACAATGGAGACATTACTGGGCCCGCTCGAGCAAATCAATAAACAACAGGAAGACAGTGCTACAGTGCTATATATATATATATATATTTTTTTTTTTTTTGACTGGGAACACCTGTAAAGGCGATTAGAGGCCTTCATCTCTCTCAGAGATCCTGGCAAGTATTCCGCCCACACAGCAGACCCTGGCAAGCTACTTGTGGCATACTCGATATGCCAAAAACAGTAACAATGATGGTCCTCATTCCCCTGACCCTGAAAGAGTCCTAGAACTCCAATGGGCTACACTAGCATGCAACAGGGATGAATGGAGATGTTACTGCTCCCTGCCATGAGAAAATCAATAAACAATGAGATGACAGTGATACAATGATAATGGTACTGATATACTTGCATTTACATAAGTTTCTGACCAAACTAGGTAAAAACACTTAACTAAATTAATTAAATTTGCATATCACTGAGTTATGGACTACACTATGCTAAATCCTATCCCCCTTGTGGCAAGCTTCCGACCGTAGACAATTCCTTCTGGCCCTTGTTTCCACTGTCCTGTTTTCACTGTAATACTATGTTTTTCATTAAATTTTTAAAATTAAATCACTGTGAAATAAACAGTTACAAAGTTGTCCATGACTGGGTTTCATCATACAATGTTACTACACTCAGACCTTCACCAGAGTATATTTCCCAAACATATCAATAGTTCCAGTAAGATTCATTGATAAAGAATACTTAAGAGCTGTTTCATAGTAATTTTAAGTATGCATCTATATCATGCCTTAATTATTTTGTGAGCATATTTTTAATTAATCGTTGAAAAAATGATTGCATCGCTTTTGGATTTCTTTTCTGTTTTGTCACACCTGGAGGTTCTCAGGTCTTATCCCTGGTGCTACATATAGGGATCATTCCTTGGCGGTGCTCTGAGTGTATTATAGGGTGTCATCTATAAAACGAAGTCAGCCACATGGAAGGCAAGGGCCTAACCTTGTACTATAACTCCATTGAATTTCTTTAATCTCACTTCTCTCTGTACTTTATTTTCACTCTTATTCTTCCCACATATCTGTTTAAACCGACTTACTCAAGAAAGATCAAATTCAGTTGTGATTTAAGAAAACATAAACATTTCATGCATTCAAATGTTTTCTTAGAGATTACAGCACATACTTTTTTGGATAGAGTTGAAGGCTATGATATTCTGTTCTGTTTCATTTCCTCTTCTTTGGAAGGTACCCAATTGACAACACAATGTCATTGTGGGTTGCAATGACACCAAAGACTGACACCTTAAACAATAGATATTTATTTCTTCCAGACATGGAGGCTGGAAGGCTGAGAAGAGGTGCCAGCAGGATTGGTTTCTGTTGAGGAGGGGCTCTCTGGATAGCTGTTCTTTTGCTTTGTCCTCAAGTGACTTCTCATCTTTCCATAGGTGGGGAGAGGGGAGAAGGAGAGAGGGAGAGAGGGAAAAAAAGAGACAAAGGGAGAGAGGGAAAGGAGGCAAGAGAGGATAAGAGATGGAAGAAGGGAGAAACAGAGAGGAGGAGGAGTGGGTGAGGGAAAAAAAGAGGGAGAAAAGAGAGGGAGAAACATTTCTGATGTATGTTTCTCTTTTTGAAATATCAAAGTTTTATTGGGTTAAAAAGTCCCATTGTTTTCACTCTATTTAGTCAAACTTATCTTCTAAAAGCACTGCCTCCAAACATAGTCACATCAAGGATCACAGTTTTAGCATCTGTGTTTTAAGGGAACACAATACAACCATAGAAATTTTGAGAATTTAATGGTTATTGGCTAAAGAGTAATTTTCCACTGAAAATGGGACATTTTTGCGTTTTCTTCTGAGAGTCTGATATTTTTATGTATTTGTTTATTTATTATGTTTTTTTCCCCTTTGCACACACTGTGGTTCTCAGGGTTATTCTGGCACTCACTCTAGGATCACTCCTGGTGGGGCTCCGAAGGCCATTTTTGATACTGAGAATAGAATTTGTGTCTACCATGTACAGGCAAGCACCCTGCCTGCTGTACTATCTCCCTAGCTGCCAAGCCTGGGTCTTTTAGAAATATTTTGGTTCTAGCTACCTTTACTGACTGCACACAGGCAAGGAAATGGGGAAATTCCTGTTACTGCCTGATGGAGGTGGGCTTGACCTACACAATGCATAATGGTAAGGATCCTGATTACTATTGGGTGAACATGGGCACAATAATTCCACAAGATCTCTTTGCTCTACATTTAATAATACACTGACTTTAAAATACTTGCGTTGGGTCAGAGTACAGTGGTTATGGCACTGGTCTTGTATGCGGTCAGGCAAAGATTCATTTCTGACAATAAGTATGAACCCCTAAGGACCACTAAGGTGCAATCCTGAGCAGAGAAACAGGAGTAGCCCCTGAACATGGCTAGCTGTGATCCCAAAACAATGAAATCATCACTTGTCCTATATTGTACTAATATGACTAAATTATCAACACAGGGAAATCCTGGAGCTGCTGCCCGAAGAATTGGAAGCCATTTGGTTCAAATTGCTACTTTATTTCTTCTGATAGAAGAAATTGGACTGACAGCAAGAAGCACTGTGAAGGGATGCAGGCGCATCTGCTGGTGGTCGACAGCAAGGAGGAGCAGGTACTTTCCGGTCAACGGTGGAGTCACGGTCCTGCCAGCTCTGTACCCCTCTCCTGCTTGGGAGGAAGTTCTCACGGTCAGGGGTGTTGCTGCCGAGTCATAAAGCTTTGAATAAAATAGACGGGAGCGGACATCTAAGTCTTGGCATTTTACATCTTCTTTGATTCCATTTTAATCCTCCCCATAATTACAGTGGGGTATATAGAGTAAGATGAGGAGGCTTGAATGGAAAGATGGGTATATTTGAACATGAATTATCAGTTAATTATATGAACCTACGAACATTTTATAAATGATTGCTGTTTAAATAGGGGCTCTTTGTGGCCCTGTGCTGAGGTTATTAACCTCTCATAGCAGAGAGGTTCATCTACTAGCGGTCGATCAGCTTTTGTTGTGTCAGCCTTAAGCTTGACCTCCAGCATTTTGTAGTCAATTAAGAATTACTGGTGGACTAGGGTGGCCTGGTTCATATGGTCCCCAAGCTGTAAGAATTTGACAACAACTATCAGAACAATAAGCAGAAAGAGAAAACAAGGAAGAAATGATCAATTGAGAAAAGCCATGAAGTGAAATAGGAAAGAAATAAAAAGCAATGAAGTGAAATATCTTAAGTTATCAAAGGAATTCATATGAAAAATTTCTTCTCCAGAGCTTTGAAGACTTCCACTTTCTACGGATGAAGTGGGGGTGAGGGTGATTGTCCATGTCAGCATGGACAGAAATCTTTGCCCGTTGGTTGGGCAATGCAGTTCTCTAATTGACTCTGTTCTGAATTCCTATCAGTTTTCAGTACAGAAGAGGTTCTTTTCCTGATCATACTGTTCTACTGTTCGCGGCCGCGCAACATCCTATTATGACATCTTATTATCTTATTCCTACTTTGGACAAACTTGCAGGCTACCGGATGTAGCCTTCCCACACGGCAGAGTCTGGCAAATTCCCCGTGGCATACCCAATATGCCAAATACCAGTAACAGTGATGGGTCTCATTCTCCTTAAGAGCCTTGAATATAATCTCAGGGCTAGGATGAAGGAGCCGTTACCGGGGCCTGCTTGAGGCAATCGACAATTAACAGGATGATTTGTGATTTGTGATTGTGACTGTTCTTGTGATCTGGGGACATCAGTGTGCAAGTTTATAAGGTGTCCTATCTATGCGGCTTTGAAGAGAGGCCTGAACACCTAAGACAAGCACCATCCTCAAGAGAGATGCCTTTGATCCTGTATTGTTCAGTCACAGAAAACCTAGATCTGTGAACTGGAACTTGGCTGCCTTTTCATAGACCCTTACATATTGCTGTTCTTTCTCCTAAGGTTTTAAAGAATTCAAATCTAGGGCAATGCTACATAAATTCTCACTCACTTCTATTCTTTCCTAGGACTTTATTATCAAGAATTTGGAAAAGGAACAATATTATTATTTGGGGCTGTCAGATCTGAAGAATGGTCACTGGGAATGGGTTAATGAGACACCATACAATTCAAGTGTCACGTGAGTGTTGAATTGGGTAAGGGGATCCTGAGTCCTGCAGACTGTAGGGACTTTAGGACCCTCCAACTTGTAGCTTTTAGAACAATAGGGCTCAAACATAATTTCTGGACATTAGTTTGCATGTTTAATGTGCATTCTGCTCTAATCACCTCAAGAAGTCCACAGAGCGTTCTTATCTCTTTCTCTTTGTAGAAATGAGGACGCTGAATTTAGAGAGCTTAGATAACTCAGGACAGGTTTCTGTATTGGAAATGATGATCTTCCAACCCAGGTTTATTTGATAAGAAAGCATGTGCTTGTAAAATTTACATATTCAAGATAATAAAATTTGGGAAGAAAAATTATAGCCATTCTTAAAATGCAATCTCTGCCCTAAAGCAATAAGCTAAATTCTGATAGTCCTAAAGTAACTTATATTTATTTAGTAAAAAAAAACCAGTTAGGCCAGACTGACTCTAGAGCCTGTAGGGTCTTTTCCTTGAAGACACTTCCCCCCACAAGCTGGATCTATTCCTAGCAACCCATATGGTCCCCCAAAAACTCATTCCTCATTCACTCATTCCTCATTCACTCACACACTCATTCCAGAGTGAAAAGCCAGGAGTAACCCCTGAGCAAATCTGGGTGTGATGCAAAAAGCAAAACAAAACAAAAAAAACCCAAAAAACATTAACTCTTAGATACTTAAGTACAATTAAGTTAGTTAATATCTTAGAGACTCATGAGAACTATGTGAAATATATACAGATAGACTCTAGTTCGATTTTTTTAAATTATGATCAGAGTAAAATATAATAATCTTAGATATTAGTATTAGAATTCAAGATATTTATTATAAGAAATGAAATTTTAGTTATTTTTAGAAGTTGTTTTTCCCTTAAGATTTCTATAAACTCTCTGGCATACAAAGTTGTTCATGATGATTTTATAAAGGTTCTCAATATTCCAACACCAATCCCACCACCATTACACTTTCCCTCCAACATTGTCTCCTACTTTTACAACCACCCTTCGAAGTATAGGAGGCCCTTAGTAATTTATATTATATTGCTTGCTATCAATAGCTTGCGAACGAATGATCATAAATATTTCCCTAGAGGAAAGCTAGTGAAGATTGTTGTATCTCACCATGGAGCCATTAAGTTCTTGAATAAGAGATTACTAAGATGTTGATACAGGTTAAGTCTCCTTTTCATATTTTTTTCTTCAATTGTTACCATCTACATTACATCCCATCCAATCTTGTATGCTGCTCTTAGTTTATCAGTGTAATAGAATTTGAGGTATTGCACAGCCACAAAATCTTCAGGAAGTCCAAATTTTTTGATGGGTGATATAGCTGGAGTTAAATTATTAATTGAAAGGCAGCTTTGGAGCCTGTGTGTGTGACTTCTCGGGGTTCCAGAAGTATAGGGGGATGGGGGGAGGTAGCCCATCCCAAAGTCTGTGAAAGCCTGGATGTGATTTCAGTCGCATAATCTGCATACTGAGCTTTTCCTGTGGATTCCTTTTTGGGTGAGGCTCAACTGAGAAGTGGAGTCCAGTCAGGATCATGGTGATGATTGTGAGGAGTGTGCTGCTGGGCTGTGTTTGAGTGGGAGCTAGGCTCACACATCCCTCTCTGGGATGCCCTTGATGATTCAGCCTCGTGCAGAGTTTAGACGCATCGAATCAAAGATATTTTAAAGAAGTCTCATTCTCCAAAAGTGGTTAATTACAAACAAAGTCCATGCTATCTATATGACCAGGATAAAAGTTTTGATCACTAAAAGGAGCCCATGGAGGATCCTCGCCAGGATGGAAGAAGCAGGCTGAAAGTAGACTATAGACCAAACATGATTGCCACCCATTGCCTCTTTTGCAAACCCAGTAAGAGAGAGAGAACAAAAGAGAATGCCCTACCACAAAGGCAGGGAGGGATAGGGGGTATGGAGGGTGGTGAGAGGGATTCTGGGATCCGTGGTGATGGGAAATGGGCACTGGTGGAGGGTTGGGTATTTGATCATTGTATAATTGAAACCCAAACACAACAATTTGTAAGTCTACAACTTACCTCATGATATCTCACTAATAAAAATTAAAACAAAATAAAGGGAGCCCATGGAATCAGGGCACAGGCATGAACTGAGAGAGGCAGGTCTACAGGGAGGGTGTCTGACACAAGAGGATGGGGCAGCTCTGGGGCATGGCAGCCCCATTTTCAGGGGAAATGCCAACAACAGATGGATAGGCCATGTGCGAGGAGTGGAAAGCAATGATTTGTGTGTCTCTGACCTGACCTCCATAACGTTCTATGTTAGCCCTTAGTTTCAATGTCTCTTTTCAAAGACAGTTTGAGAAACATACTTACCCTGTTCTCTTTTTTTCAGGTTCTGGCACCGAGGTCAACCCGATAATCCCCATGATCACTGTGTTATGTTACAGTATAATTCTGAATGGTACCACTGGGGCTGGAATGATATTTCTTGTTACTACTCTCTGTATCCAATTTGTGAGATGTTGATGATCTACTTATGAATAGAACATTCTCCATGAACCTGTGGTAGAGTTGTCTTTGTTCCTTACAATGAGAGGTAATTTGCTTTTGTGCATATCTTATAGGATTAACAAAGAAGATTTCTGCAGTCTACATTTATCATGGTACCTATTTCATCATTCATTCATTAAAAATCAACAATTACTGAACATTTTTCAGTGAAGACTCCATATCAGAGAACCTTTTCATCGAGAGGGGACTGGAGTCTCCTAAGTTTTGTCAAATTTCTCAGGAGTTGACTGTGATTACATTATGTGGCTCCCTATCTTCAATGCTCTCTATATGGATTGACCAATAGGAAAATAATGCCTACTGTTGATTTTGGTTTTTCTGAGCTAGATGGGTCATTCTGAACTGAAATCACATTATGAAACATTTGAGAATCAGTGCAGGTTCATGGAGGAAAAGCTTTAGCTTTGACCGAGTACACTCTCTCTATGTTTAATCATGCTTTGGGTGACGAACAGACTAGTGCTCCTCAGGTATTTTAATATTGGTTTAGTGTTATTATAGCATAGGCTATTTTTAAATATCAGTTATGAAGACTCAGATAAGAAGAAAATATTTCCTGGGCTGAAATAGGGGCTTCTCGGATTGTTAGGCCTCACCAACAGGGCCACAGAACAGGCAGGGAAAGTCAAGGAAGACTTTTTTTTTTTAATTTTTATTTATTTATTTTTTTACAGTTGTAGATTTACAATTTTTTTTTGTGCTTGGGTTTCAATTATACAATGATCAGATACCCATCCCTCCACCAGTGCCCGTTTTTCACCACCATGGATAATATCCCTCCCACCCCCATCCCCCCATCCCCCCTGCCTCTGTGGCAGGGCAATCCCCTGTGTTCTTTCTCTCCGTTTGGGTGTTGTGGTCTGCAAAAGAGGCATTGAGTGGCAAACATGTTCAGTCCATAGTCTACTTTCGACATGCATCTCCCCTCCTGGGAGGATCCTCCAAACATCCTTTATTTGGTGCTCCCTTCTCTATCTGAACTGCCCTTTCCTCTAGGATACCCGGCTGGCATCTAAGTTATGGAGTAATCCTCCTGGTGCTGATCTCAGCTATTCTTGGGTATTAATCTCATACTTTGTTACTTTATATCCCCCAGATGAATGCAATCTTTCTATGTCTATCCCTCTCTTTCTGACTCATTTCGCTTAGCATGATACTTTCCATATTGTACCACTTGTATGTAAATTTCATGACTTCATCTTTTCTAACAGCTACATAGTACTCCATTGTGTAGATGTACCAAAGTTTCTTTAACCAGTCATCTGTTCTTGGGCATTCAGGTTTCTTCCAGTTTCTGGCTATTGTAAAGCGTGCTGCAATGAACAAACAAGTGCAGATGTCACTTCGACTATACATTTTTGCCTCTCTGGGATATATTCCCAGGAGTGGTATTGCTGGGTCAAATGGGATCTCAATTTCTAATTTTTTGAGAATCGTCCATACTGTTGTCCAGAAGGGCTGAACCAGTGGACATTCCCACCAACAGTGAAGGAGTGTCCCTTTCTCGCCACATCCACGCCAGCATTGGTTGCTTTTGTTCTTTTGAACGTGGGCCAGTCTCTGAGGTGTGAGATGGTATCTCATTGTGGTTTTGATCTGCATCTCTCTGATGATTAATGATGTAGAGAATTTTCTCATGTGCTTTTTTGCCATTCGGATTTCTTCTTTGAGAAAGTTTCTGTTCATTTCATTGCCCCATTTTTGGATGGGATTGGATGTTTTCTTCTTGTAGAGTTTAACCAGTATTTTGTATATCCTGGATATCAACCCCTTGTCAGATGTGTATTCGGCGAATATCCTTTCCCATTCTGTAGACTGTCTTTGTATTTTGGTCACTGTTTCTTTGGATGTGCAGAAGCTTCTTAATTTAAGATAGTCCCATTTATCTATCTCTGTTTTCACTTGCTTGGCCAGTGGCGTGGCATCTTTGAAGATACCATTAGCTTCAATATCATGGAGGGTTTTGTCAACTTTATTTTCAATGTACCTTATGGTTTCTGGTCTGATGTTGAGGTCTTTAATCCATTTTGATCTTACTTTTGTACATGGTGTTAGGCAGAGTTCTGAGCCTATTTTTTTGCATGTAGCCGTCCAATGATGCCAACATAATTTATTAAAGAGGCTTTCCTTACTCCACTTCACATTACTTGCACCTTTATCAAAGATTAGATGATCATATGATTGAGGGGAGATGTCAGTGTATTCAACCCTGTTCCATTGGTCTGCAGTTCTGCCTTTGTTCCAGTACCATGCTGTTTTAATTATTACTGCTTTGTAGTACAGTTTGAAGTTAGGGAGGTTGATTCCTCCCATTTTCTTTTTCCCAAGAATTGCTTTAGCTATTCGTGGGGGCTTATTGTTCCATATAAATTTCAGGAGTGTTGGCTCCATTTCTTTGAAGAATGTCATGGGTATCCTTATAGGGATTGCATTGAATTTATACAATGCTTTCGGTAGTATTGCCATTTTGACAATGTTAAGTCTCCCGACCCATGAGCAGGGGATATCTTTCCATTTCCTCATGTCCTCTTTTATTTCCTGAAGTAGCGTTTTGTAGTTTTCTTTGTACAGGTCCTTTACTTCCTTAGTTAAGCTGATTCCTAGGTACTTGATTTTCTGGGGCACAATTGTGAACGGGATTGTTTTTTTCATGTTGCTTTCTTCTCTCTCACTGTTTGCGTATAGGAAAGCCATGGACTTTTGGGTATTGATTTTATAGCCTGCAACTTTACTATACGAGTCTATTGTTTCTAGGAGTTTTTTGGTGGAGGTTATTGGGTTCTCTAAGTAGAGTATCATATCATCTGCAAATAGTGAGAGCTTGATTTCTTCCTTTCCTACCTGAATGCCCTTAATATCTTTTTCTTGCCTAATCGCTATTGCAAGTACTTCCAGTACTATATTGAACAGAAGTGGAGAGAGTGGGCATCCCTGTCTCGTCCCTGATCTTAGAGGGAAGGCTCTCAGTTTTTGCCCATTGAGGATGATGCTTGCTGTAGGCTTGTGGTAGATGGCTTTAATTATGTTGAGGAAGGTCCCCTCTATACCCATTTTGGCTAGGGTTTTCATCATAAAGGGGTGCTGGATCTTGTCAAATTCTTTCTCTGCATCTATTGATATGATCATATGCTCTTTATCTTTTCTTTTGTTGATATGATGGATTATGTTGATTGATTTTCGAATGTTAAACCATCCTTGCATCCCTGGGATGAATCCTACTTGGTCATGGTGTATGATCTTTTTGATGAGTAGTTGGATTCTATTTGCTAGTAGTTTGTTGAGGATCTTTGCATCTGTGTTCATCAGGGATATCGGCCTGTAATTCTCTTTCTTTGTGGTATCTCTGTCTGCTTTTGGTATCAGTGTGATATTCGCTTCGTAGAAACTGTTCGGAAGTGTTTTTGATATTTCAATTTCGTGGAAAAGCTTAAAGAGCATTGGGAGTAAGTCCTCTTTAAAGATTTGGAAGAATTCACTAGTGAATCCATCCGGGCCAGGACTTTTGTGCTTGGGGAGACTTTTTATTACCAGTTCAATTTCCTTGATGGTGATAGGTCTGTTCAGGTATTCCAGGTCTTCTTGGTTCAGCCTTGGGAGTCTGTAGGAGTCTAGGAATTTATCCATTTCCTCGAGGTTTTGATGTTCCGTGGCATAAAGCTTCTCAAAGTACTCCCTGAGGTTCCTCTGAATTTCTGTGGTTTCTGTTGTAATGACCCCCTTTTCATTTCTGATTCGGTTTATTAGGGTTTTCTCTCTCCCTTTCTTTGTGAGTTTTGCTAGCGGCTTATCGATCTTGTTAATTTTCTCAAAGAACCAACTTTTGGTTTCATTGATCTTTCGGATTGTTTTTTGGGTTTCCATCTCATTAATCTCTGCTCTGAGTTTTATTATTTCCTTTCTCCTGTTCGGGTTCTGCTCCTTTTTTTGGTCCTTCTCCAAGCTCTTAAGCTGTGAGGTTAGGTTTCTTATGTGTGTTCGCTGCTCCTTCCTGAGGAATGCTTGTAGAGCTATAAACTTTCCTCTTAACACAGCCTTTGCTGTGTCCCATAAGTTTTGGTAACTCGTGTTCTCATTTTCATTCGTTTCTAGGAATCTTTTGATTTCCTCTTTGATTTCCTGTCTAATCCACTCGTTGTTCAATAGTGCACTGTTTAATTTCCAGGTGTTTGATTTAGTTTTCTGTTTTTGTGTGTGATTTACTTCTAATTTCAGCGCATTATGGTCTGAGAAGATTGTTGATACAATCTCTATCTTCTTAATTTTATGGAGGCATGTTTTGTGGCTCAGCATGTGGTCTATCTTGGAGAATGTTCCATGGACGCTTGAGAAGAATGTGTATTCAGCTTTTTGTGGATGAAGTGTCCTGTATATATCTACTAAGTCCCTTTCTTCCATTGTTTCCCTCAAATGAAGTATGTCCTTGCTAAGCTTGAGTCTGGTTGATCTATCAAGAGGTGACAAAGCGGTGTTGAAGTCTCCCACTAGTATTGTGTTGCTATTGATGTCTTTTTCCAAATCTATGAGTAGTTTATTTAAGTACTTTGCTGGTCTCTCATTAGGTGCATATACATTTATTATTGTAAGTTCTTCCTGTTGTACAGATCCTTTGATCAATAAGAAATGGCCTTCACTGTCTCTTATGACCTAAGGAAGACTTTTAACACCCGAACCCTTTCTACTCCCAAGGCATCACAAACCAGAGGTTATATTTTAGGTGGTAGTGGTCACAATCCAAACTTTCATTGGTATATATTTTTTACTTATTTTTCTTTTATGAGAGCTCTGTGATTTACAAAGTTACTCATAGTTGAATTTTGGACATACAGTATAACAGCACCAATCCGACCACCAGTGCCAACTTCTCTCCCTCTTCCACCAGTGTGCCCAGGTGCCCTCCATACCCATTTCCCCCCCTCTCTCTGTCCTCTTGTCAGATGCCCATCTAAGTTTGGTTGTTGAAGTCTTGATTTCAGTGTTGTTGATCATGTGGTTTAGATATTTTTCTCAATAATTTCTTACCTCCAACTTTGTACCTTAACCCCCCGATCTGGCCCCTCCTCTATCTCCCCTCCAGTCTTTCTCCCCCTGAACTCTGGGCCCAAGGTTGATCTGGCATGTCCCCTTTAAAACATTGCATTTATAGTGGTATTTAGAATAATCAGATGAAGAATGTTTAATTTTAATTATCTCTTTCCTCCAGCTCACCTTGTAAGAACCAGCTGCTCAGGCTGTGGCCTGGGTATGGAACCAGAAAGCTATAAAGCTCCTTTGAGAACCCGTGTTTGCTACCAAGGCACTCTGGATATTTTCATGGAAGAATGTACCTCTTGTGAAGGAGAAATAAACCTGATTTCATGGGCTCCAGTCCTGTCCTATGATTCTTCTCCCATGGAAGGGCAAGAGCCCATCACCATGAGGATTTCTTGGCAATAGTCTTGGTTTCAGTGTCATACTTGCTCTGTGTGAAATTTTGTCCAAATAGTATATTTAAATTTTTTAAGTAAAGTTCTTACAATATGCTACAGTATAAAACAGCATATTTGATAGATTGAGAACAATATAAAACAACATGTTTGATAGACCGGGGAACTTGTCCGGTGCAGACATAGGGACAGAGACAGTAAAAAGTGAAGGAACAGTAGTTTATTGGGGTCCTTTCCCAGATGGACTCTATATTGACCTCTGGAGTAGCTGGATTAGAGATTTGTCCTGGGAGAGACAAGGGGCGGGGGCTTTTAAGTGGTCTTAGCAATAAAAGGTGCAAACACCAGTGGGATGCGTTGGACATGTCCATCTATTATCTGTAGGGGTTCCTGATGTGAGAAAGGATGGAATACAGACTCGTAGCTTTCTAGGTTGCTGTAAGTCCTGTACTCAGGCTGGCAGAGAAGGGGAGGGTGATCTTTGATTCTATATTGTCTCATAGCCAGTTGCCATTTGTTCAGAGCAAACCTTTCAATATTTACAATAAAACCAATAATGTATTGCCTAGTATGATCATTGTAATAGATCATGATGGATCTCAATCTCAAGCGGTTATCCTGTGGGCCTCTTGAGACTATGTGATTAATGCAACCAAATAATTGCGCTTGTCACCCTGTTTTCGAATTCATCTAAAGATTCATCTAGTCACTTTTATACCTTTTTTATATGTCCATGGTTTGAAGGATTTTCCAGTTTACTTTCAAGAAAGCAATTTTTATTCTGGGGTAATTGGGAACTTGATTTACAATAATAATAGGGAACTATGATTTCAGTAAAATTGTGGTGGCATAAAGGTAGACTAAAAAGGTTTGGAGTAATTTCTTTGTGGAAATTTCAGTGAGCGCGAAAGGCAGTGAAAGATTTCGTGACATTCATCAATCCCACAACTCTCTTTCCTCTTTTCCTCTATGTTGTTCTTTATGAATGTGGCTCAGAGGCTGTTTGCTTTCATTTTCTCTGGAGCCACCATCAAATTTTATTCACATAACTGACGATGTGAATTTTGTGCTTAAAAGTGATATTTAGCTTCATGCCCTACCGAGGTCACAAATTTCCCCCTTAGTTCCTCTTTTTCTTTTCTCCTTGTGTTCATCGTCATGAACAACCTCCAAGTTTGCAGCAAATATTGCATCATCTCAGCGACACCCCCTGCGAAGCCCACACTATCCCCAGGCAGAATCACCTGGGTTGCCTCCTCCAGCAGGCCAGCAGCTGGCCCAGCAGCTACAGTCGCAGATGCCAGAGTGGCTGGAGCAGCGGCACAGGCATATGCGGAGTCGGGTGCCCGGTGCCAGCCAGCACTAGCGGCAGGCGTGACCCCGGGACCCAGCTGGCCCAGGACTGCCAGAATCCACTTCCTCGGGGCTACCCTCGAGAAGAGAAAGACCCCGAGACTCCTTGATTCTTCTGTTTCCCTTTGGTCTCGCACCCCAACCCCTATTTTTAGTCCCAAAGTCTCCAGACTTCTCAGTGGGTACAAAACAGTGCCGCGTCCTGCCCCTAACTTGGCAGGTGTGCCCCCGAACCCCCCAAGCCCTACCCCACTGCAGAGACCTTGCAACAGCCCTGTGCGAGGGCTACGGGAGGGACGCATTGGTGTCCGGTTTTTGGATCCCCTCAGGTCAGCCTAGACATTGTGGACTGTGGGAGCCCCAATGGAGGGATCTGGTGCCACCCTCCACCTCCAGGAGGGCGACTGGAGGGTCCCCACGGCAGACAGTCTGTGTCCCCCCGAGCGTGGTCAAGGCAGTTGGGGACACCCCACAGGCCACTGCCCCCCCCAATCTCCACCAGTGGCCGAGCTGCAACTTGTGTAATAGTGAGAAATAAATTTATGACTCAAAAAAAATAAAGTTTCCTCTTTTCTTTTCCTTCCCGTATCTCCTACTTGGTTTCCAAGTTCCTATTTTTATTACATTTTTCTTTTGCGTTTAAGAGTTATGACTTTCACTGTGTTTTTCTTGGGGTTCAAACCTCTGGCTGAGGCTTTTAGTTCTCCTGCAATTCCTCTGAGCCGGTGTGATTAGTGGAACCTCGTTGCTCCTGCAGAAGTGCTCTATGTTGTTCTCCGAGTGATGGGAAGGCTGGCGTGAAGAGAGCACAGCTTCTGTCCTCAGTATGACGACAGAGATTACCGACATTGAAGTGAGTTTCAAAAACAAAGCCCAGTCCTCCGGCACCCCATCACAGGCACCTGCAGGTAAGAAACCTTTTGTGCAAGTTCATTATGAGATGAAGGATTGAGAAGGAAGAGTGTGAGCGAAACATAGGTGACATTAGTTGCTAATTTTTCTACTGAGTGCAGTTGGGAAATGCAGGTTGTTAGTAGCTTGATTTGTCTAATAAGAAAGGGGAAAAGGAGTGACTACCCCAAAAGTGAGGTGTGAGAACGTACGCTCATCCATACCCCAGTTTTGATAAGGGGAGTGCTGTTAAGTTGAGTGTTGTTCTGCCTTTTGTGTTGAGTGTGTCTACAGTCAAGAGATCGGTGTTCAGCTCTTGAAACCAGATGCAGCACCTTTGATGAATGAATGAATAAATGAATGAGTGGGCTCCATTCCTTGTTTAGTTAGAGAGGAAGAGGATTTCAGGGACTGTGTGTGTTTATTTCTTAGTTGTGTACTCACAGATACCAAAAGACCTCTGCAGGTTAAAGACTAGAAAGTCTTACAAAGAGTTTATTACTTCTCAAAGGAAATGGCTCTGCCATTAGAAAATTCTTTTCTTGGTGGTGGGGGCTCATGAGACAATGCTTGGGAGTTATTCCTGTCTGCACACTCAAATATCACTCTCGACAGGGCTCAAGAAACCCTGTGAGGTATTAGAGATTGAACCTGGGTGAGCTGAGTGCAAAGTAAACACCTTATCTGCTGTACTATTTCTATGGCCCCACCCAAAAATTTCATTTTATACCAGATTCCAAGATGCATTAAATACAGTTCTGGAAAAGGGAGCAAGGTGATTAGAGTAGCATGCAATGTATATTGCACAGAGAGAAAAACAGAGAAAAAAGCTTATATAATGTAAGAAACTAAGAAACACTATGTGTGTGGTCAAAATTGTTCATGTTTTCAAAAAATGTGGAAATATAAAAAATTCTCACGAAAATTTCTTCTTCCTATAACAGAAAGTGCATATAAACTTTACCAAATGTTGACGTATTCATTATAGAAAAAAATAAAGTTCAAATTTATTTATTCTTATCATCTAGAGATACTAGTAATTTAGATTTTAGTGCCTATAACTCCAGATGTAAGTAAATGTAAGCATTTCTTTTGTTAAATTGAAATCATATTATGTTACTGATGGAGTTTCTCCTTACTGGGGAATATACTACAACTTCGAGAAAATTGATTTCTTTTTCGCTTGGGGGCCATCTCAGAGCTGCTCATAAGCTCCTCCTGGGTCCCTGTGGGGGGGTTCCCCTCCCAGTGTTGTGTAGTGGATCATGTGTTGGTAGGAAGGCAACAGGGGTCTCCAACATGTAAGGCATGCACTCCGTCCTTTGAGTTATTTCTCCAGCCAAATAGTTTCTGTCATTGAAGTAATATTTGTTTATAACAGGGCTTTTAAAACTTACCTACTTGAGAACTCTTCTCGTGGGAATGCAATGTGGGTACAAGCTGCGAATAAGACCTCAACTTCATTATGTGGTTGGTTTTGAAATAAGTTTGGGTCATTTTATGTTCAGAAACATTGTAATACATTTTACTACAAGACTTGACAAGGGTTGACTCAGAGACTTAACTGCTATGCCATTACTTAAAAACAGACAAAAGTTTGAAGGAATAAAAATCCAGATAACTATTTGCCTGTAAACTGAAGTACCACACAAATAGAAAAGAGAGTACTGAAGAAAAGCTGCTGGTACAAAAATTGATCATGCTGAAATTTCCATGCTTTCTCAAATGGGGTGGATTCCCTCCCCGACATTCCAGTATTCATGGATGCACTTGCAATTACCCCCACAAACTAACTCCAGTGCTACCCTGTCAGCTCTTCTACCAGCCTTGCTTCAGAGACTCATAATAAATTTTAAGAGAATTCTAAAGCCGCAGTTAAGCTTGGACCCATGCAAGGCTGAACAGACGGGGTTAATTGGAGAGTGATGGGTTGGCCTGTCCCTGCCCAGGCAGAGCCCCCAGCAGCTGCTTGCTCCCACAATCCAAAATCGCCGCCATATCTGGGCCTGATTGTGCTGTCTCAGGACAGACCTCATTGAGACCTAATCGAATGACAATTCTGGTATGTATTTTTTTTGTGACTGAAATCCCCAGGCCATCAATAATTTAGCATAGATAGAGATATAAAATTTATGATAAAAAAACAAAGACCGTACGATAAAGTAAAACTTCTTGAACAAGGTGGCAGGAAAACAACTAAAAAAACAAAAACATAAAACTAGATCATGACTTAACATGATCAAAAATGAACTCAAAAGGCACTGTAGCACCGTCCCCTCATTATTCATCGACTTGCTCGAGCGGGCCTAGTATAATGTGTCCATTGTGAAACTGGTTGTTACTGTGTTTGCCATATTGAATACATCATGATTAGCTTGCCAGGCTTTGCTTTGTGGGCAAGATGCTCTCTGTAGCTTGCTGGGCTCTTCGAGAGGGGCGGAGGAATCAAACCTTAGCTGATCAGGTCAGCCGCATGCAAGGCAAACACCTTACCCTCTGTACTATTGCTCCAGCCCAAAGGAAACAACATTAAAAAAAAAGAGAAGAAAAGAAAAGAAAGAAAGAAAGAAAGAAAGAAAGAAAGAAAGAAAGTAAGGTAACAAATCAGAATACAGAATGAGGACTGTATAAAACTAATAAGTTTTTGTCCAGAAAAATCATAAATAAATCATCCCATATATCCCATATATCAAAACAGCAATATAAAACCTGGAGAAATGTTTGCATATTGTTTTTTGATAAGGGTCAATATCCAAAAAACATAAAAAACTCCCACAACTCAACATAAAAATAGCAAGCAAGCGAAACAAAAAGTGGACAAAACATTTGAATACACACTGTGCTGTAGCACTGTCCTCCCGTTGTTCATCGATTTGATCTAACGGGCAACAGAAACATCTCACAACAAATTGTAAGACTTGTTGTTACTATTTTTGACATATCGAATACGTCACAGGTAGCTTGCCACTCTTTGCCATGTGGGCGAGATATTCTCGGTAGCTTGTCGGGATCTCCGAGAGGGGCAGAGGAATCGAACCCAGGTCAGCCGCGTGCAAGGCAAACTACCCACTGTGCTATCACTCTAGCCCATGTTCCAAAAAATCCCCAAAGATGTCCTATGAATACATGCAAAATTCTTCAGTGTCACTTATAAGGGCACACTAAAATCAGAACTACAATGAAATATAGCCTCACACCAATGAGAATGGCCTATGTTAAAAATATTGGAAACAGTGTTGGCAAGGATATTGGGGAAAAGGAACTCTGACATACTTTTGGTGAAAACGAAATTGGTGTACCCTGTAGAAAATGCTATAGGGATTCCTAAGAAAAATATACATGAAAATTCCATATAATCAATGAGAACATTCCTAGTTATTTATGTGAAAAACAGGAAACAGTCATAGAAAAGAATGTGTTTACCTCTGTTTTCATAACACAGTGGTAGGGTGTTTGCCTTGCGTGCAGCCAGTCTTGCTGAGCTGGGTTCTATTCCTCCGCCCCTCTTGGAGAGCTTGGCAAGCTACCGAGAGTATTCAATATGCCAAACACAGTAACAGCAAGTCTCACAATGGAGACGTTACTGGGCCCGCTCGAGCAAATCGATGAACAATGGGAGGACAGTGACAGTGACATTATTCACATTGGCAAAAAACATCATGGAATCAACATACATGGGCGTCAAGAGAAGGCTGGATAATGAAATTATCGTATATGAACTCAATACAAATTTTTGTTAAAAAAAAAAGATAAAATTCTGATTTTTCGAACAAAATGGATGGAACTTGAGGAGCGTATGTTAAGTGAAATAAAGAAATGAAGTACATTTACTAGATCATTGCACTTATATATGGAATATAAATCACTAAAACAAATGAATTTACAGTACCCAAGAGAAGAGAACTGGTCTTGGGGCTAATTCAGTGGTAGAGTGCTTACCTTGAAAGCATGAGGTCAAGAGTTTGATCCCCATCGCTGACCCTCATGCCAAGTGTGATTCTGGCAGCTTTGCTGTTCATGATTCATGGTGCCACAGAGGAGTCTGTGCCCCATCACCAAGTGTGTTCCAGCTCTTCAAATACATGCGAAACCTCTGGTGAGCACCACCACCAAAATGTGTAGCATGGCAACTAGGTCGGCATTTCCTGTCACAGCAACCAACAGCAAAGTGAAAGAAAGGGAAGAAACCCTAGGCCAAATAAATAAATAAGTACAAAATGCAGTAAAACTAACTCTTAGAAGAGTTTTATTAATTACAAAGGTGGGAGGAATGGTTCTTTAATGGCAATAGAACTCTAGTGGTAGGTATGATAAGACTTGTATACATATAGGAATGTGAAAGCAACCCCCGGAAATTCCATAATATTGTAAATCAGTGAAAATAGGAATTACATAGCACGTTGTTAAAAATACTAGGTTGTGTAGTATGGACAATTCTCAAAAAATTAGAAATTGAGCTCCCGTTTGACCCAGCAATACCACTCCTGGGAATATATCCCAGAGAGGCAAAAAAGTATAGTCAGTATAGTCAAAGTGACATCTGCACTTGTTTGTTCATTGCAGCACGCTTTACAATAGCCAGAATCAGGAAAAAACCTGAGTGCTTGAGAACAGATGACTGGTTAAAGAAACTTTGGTACATCTACACAATGGAGTACTAAGTAGCTGTTAGAAAAGATGAAGTCGTTAAATTTACATACAAGTGGTACTACATGCAAAGTATCATGCTAAGCAAAATGAGTCAGAAAGAGAGGGACAGACATAGATTGCATTCATCTGGGTAGCATAAAGTAACAAAATAGGAGACTAACACCCAAGAATAGCTGAGATAAGTACCAGGAGGTTTGCTCCATGGCTTGGAGTGCAGCTGCACACGCTAGGGGAAAAGGCAGCTCTGACAGAGAAGGGAGCAGCAAATAAAGGATGTTGGGAGGATCCTCCAGGGATGCATGCTGAAAATAGACTATAGACTGAATATGATTGCCACTCTATGCCTCTTTTACAAACCACAGCACCC